CCCTGCAAATTAAAATATCCAAAAGATTTTGACCTATATAAGAAATTAAGGATAAAATCTCATCATTTGGGGATGACATTGTTCTATTAAGAAGTCACACTTCTCCAGGGAGTAGTGGCACATGTCTTTAATCTCAGCACTAGGGAGGCAGAGGCAGCCAGATCTCTATGAGTTAGAGGCCAGCCTGGTCTACAGAGTGAGTTTCAGGACAGCGAGGCTACTCAGAGAAACCCTATCTTGAAAAACAAAACAAAACAAGTCACACTTAAGAGGTTTGTTTGAGAAAATAATTATTTTAGAATGAAGAAATAAGTGCTAATTTTTTAACAGTCACTTAGTAATGATTTGGCCTTTTTCAGGTTCAAAGGAGTGTGTAATAGATTTTAAAAATGGTGGAACATGTCTGTAATTCTAAGCACTCAGGAGACTGAGGCAATAGTCTGAATTTGAGATCAGCCAGTGCTATATAGCAGGAATCTTCCTTTTAAAAACCAAAGCCTTGGTATCTTGGATTCTTTTCTTCCTGTTGCCGTGATAAATACTCCGACAAAGACTTAAGAGAAGGGGTTTGTTCTAGACCAGGGTGTAGTCCATCACAATAGGGGATTCAAGGTGTCGAGCTGAAGCAGCTGTTCACAGGCACCCGTAATCACCAGTAGAGAGCCATGACAGCATGCTATTGCTCATGTTACTTCTACATTTTGTGCAGGTCAGAGTCCCCTTCCAGAGAATGGTACTACCCACAATTGACATGATCAGGGTAATCCTTCACAGGCATGCCTGCAGGCCCATCTTCTAGCTGATTCCAGAGTCTATTAAGTTAACAAAAAAAGACAAATGATCACACAGGGAATGTAGAATCCTCTCTATAATGCACAGGGGTCTGGCTTCAGTTCTTGGTAGTGCAAAATTCAGTTAATAATAAAAAAGAATAAAATATAAATCTTAGAAATAGATCTGGATTAGAAACAAAGGAATATAAAGAAGAAAGGATAGGTTAAGTTTGATTATAAGTAAAAATAAATATTTCTTAATATAGCATGAGTTTATCCTGTAACTTACTTCCTTGGAGACAAGTTTTATAATAGTATTTTCAAACATCAATTTAATGGTCTTGAGAGACCCTCAAATAGATTATAAGAATGACATCTAGTTTATTTTAGGAAAATCAAAACCAGGAAAGTTCATGCCTAAAACCAGAATATTACTGCTAAGTATGGCCTTACTAATGAATGCATTAAAAGACATCATTCAACATCAGAGTCTGTATTTAGCTTTTAAAAAATGGTCTTAAAACTGTGTTCTAGTCACTCAGATTAGTACAGTTTCTTGATTTCTTACTGGTTTTACAAATAGTGAAGTTAATCACGGTTTTGGGCAAAATAGAAGTTTCTCTGTATAATTTAGTGAATATTCAGACAGAAGAGATTCTTAAAATAAATGCAGCTTTATTATATTATAGAGTAATAGTAATCTTAAATTCTAACAATGCATCCTTGATTTAATGAATAAAAAGACTCATTAGTAATCAGCCCTGAATTAATTTTATGCAAATGAAAGCTATTATAATTCTTGAAAATAGTTTGTTAAGTTAAATATTTCCTTCTAAAATTTTGTTTACATTATCCCTTTGCTTTGCAAAATATAATACAGATCTAAATGCATTTTCAGCCCATTGCAGTCTGCACAGAGGCCAAACCAGCAGATTGCAATTTAGGGTTCAGTGTTTCATTATATCCTCTTCAAATCCACAGTGACATTTTATTGGTCTTTCCATATTAATTTAGATTTGCAGGCTGTATATGAAAATTGTCTCAAGAATTAAAGTCTCTTAGGAGGACTGTTTCTATCTGATCTTGTCTGCATTTTGGAAAGGGCCAGAGCTCTGAAGTACTGAGCAATTTATGGTTGTGTATTATTAGAAAGAATGACTTTCACATGCAGCTGAAACTGTTTGTCAAAGTCATGGTGCCGTGGGGCTGCATAGATGGCTGGGCACAGAGAGCTGGTTGCTCTTTCAGAGGACCTAGGTCCAGTTCCCAGAATCTATATGGTATTAACAACCTTCTGTATACCTCTGGCCTCTTTGCATACCAAACATGCATGCAGTGAACACATATTCATGCAGGCAAAATACTCATCCATAGAAAATAAAATAGACCAATCTTTTCAAAGTCGTTATCTGCCTTTTCCTAGATCCAGTTAATCAAGTTTTTTTTCTTTCACATTTCCAGCATTGTGCACACCAAGACAAACCAAAAGAACCATTACTGTGGTGTAGGCCTGCAGTGGAGCTGCTCGTGGCTATAAATAAGAATTGTGTTTTGCAGTGTTACAGTAAAAACTGGAAAGTTGATTTTATGGGTCAGGAACTGAATCAACTTTGAGTGGTGGAACTGGGTTGGTGGTGTCCAACCTTATGTGGAAGTGGACTAAACCTTAATGAATGGCCAGGATACAGGCATTCCAATTTTTTCCCCAGTGTTTTAAGTCATTGTAATGATAATAGTATCACCACCTTCTGATAGGGTGGGGTAAAGGAGGAGATAATTACTTGTACTGTTGAGGCTCTGGTGTATTTCTTTCCAACTTTTAACATCTAATTAATCATAGTACATAGAGTATTTTCTATCTTTTTTCCTACTTATTTTGGAAATATTTTTTCATATAGATTATTGGCTTCCTTTACCATTTTAGTAGATGTCTAATATTTTGTGATATGAATACATTTTGATTTACTTAGCTGTTCTTCTGAGTATATATATATTAATATTATAATATACTATTATACTATGTATTACATATATGTTTATATATATATTTATATATATAAAATGTTCTTTGTTTTTGAGACAAAGTCTCAGGTAGCCCAGACTGGCCTCAAACTCACTATGTGGTCAAGGATGACGATGAACTTTTTTGATCTTTCTACCTCTGCCTCCTGAGTGCTGGGATTACAAGCATGTGCTGTAATCATTTCTAGCTTGTGTAGTGCTAGGGATGAAGCCAGGACTTCATGTGTACTTGGGAAGCAAGCACTCTACTAACTGAACCACATCTCCAGCTCAGTAGTGCTATTTATACTTTCCAATTCTTGTTTTCTTACTTGTTTTTAATTTTTGTTTCTGTCATTTTAAAAAATACTATTTGGAAGTTGATTTTATGGGTTAGTAACTGAATAGACTTTGAGTAGTGGAACTGGGTTGGTGGCTATGAAACTGGCTGTTTCTGTTTTCCGAGTGTTTGTACAGTTTGGATATTTTTTGTGTGATTTTCACTATGATGTATAAAGCCCATTAAGCATGAGCTTTTTTAAAAAAATTCTATTTGTTTTAAAAACATTGCTATTTTGTATCACCAACAAACTATAAGAGGTGTTATTTTTATCATATCCTTAGTACTGCTCTTTTTCTTTTCAAATAAGAATACCAAATACAACTTTAATGGGCTATAAATGACTGTGCTTTGTACTTTTTTCTGTACATTTTGCTAGTAATATTTTCTCATATATATAGTCTATGCTCATATCTTAGGACATCCTGTATCCTACACACTCGGTGATTATATATATTTCCTCAAATCTAGATGTTTCTGCCAAGTCTTCAGTATTTTTGTTTTATCCTTGTGGTAGAGTTGAAAGCATTTTTGTTTCTTTTGTATTTTCATGTCTGGGAAATAGTGTCATAGGGCCCAGAGTTCAGTGGTAAAAGGTGAAGCAAGGTTACATTATGTCTTTTTGTTTTGTAGCTTCCAGTCAAGTTAGTTATTCTTTCAGAACCACTTCTTGTGAGCTAGACCTGCATAGTAGCCACTCTGTTCATAAAGTAGGAGGTGTATAAATGTGTTTGTATGATCAAAGCAGAGTGGTAAGTGCTGCAGTAGAGTATTTGGGGATCATGGAGGTGCAGCATTTACCCCAAGCTAGAGTAGAAGCAGTTTGGAAAAGGCTTGGCACTGTTACCTTGAGTATTTCTTTTTTGTTTTGTGTGTACTGTCCTCCATCTTACAGAGATACAGGTACATTCATAATCATTGTCCTATGAACATGCAAGACCTTTATTGCTGCCTTCTGTAAACATCTTTAAAATAAGACTCATAGTGAACATGTCTGATTTTCTTAGACTAATATTCTTAGATTGTGGTTTATGAATGTTTTTTATGTTTTGATACATAGCATTAGATGGTATTCCACTATAGAGGGTGTTTCTATAAACAGAGTATGAGAGTCTATTTCAATGTACTCTTGTCAACACTATGTTTTTATGTTGACAAACATGATAAGTAAATATGGCACCTCATTTTTGTTTTGATTTCCCTCTCCGTTAATTATATAGCCAGACATATTTTCATGCATTTATTGATGCCTTTATTTTCTCATTAGGGGTTTGTATTCTTGTATCAAACTTAGGAAGTTTGCAATATTTGTCTTGCTCTTATACATATATTAGTGATTGTACCTCCAAATTATCATATACCTTTGTCTTAGCATTTTCTTTCTTTTGTGAATAGCTGCTGCCTTCTTTAGGAATGATTTTAAATATTTCCACTATTTTAAACATGTAATTATCTGAAGATTTAATGAAGTTCAAAAGAAGATACTGTTGAAGTTGAAATTTAAATGTATCTTTCTTTCCTATCCTTGTCTGGAAAACTACAAAGATTTTGAGTATTACTGCAATTATTTTTTTAAGGTTTATTTCATTTTTATTTTATGTATATGACTGTTTTGCCTTCATGTATATGCACTGTTTGTGTACCCAGTGCCTACAGAGACCAAAAGAGGGTAACACATCCTTTGGAACTGGCACTACAACTATTGTAAGCCAGCATGTGGGTGTTGGGAACCAAACCTGGATTCTCTTTAAAAGCAACAATTGCTCTTAACTGCTGAGCTATCTCTCCAGCCCCATCACAATCATTTTAAGAATGCTTTCTAGTTTTGATTTTCAGCGTTCTCTGTTAACGTTTTCATCTCTGTGCTCACACTTCCCACCTCTTAGGTATGAAGCTCTCTTTCCATTAGTGTTGTCCTGCTTGATGTTTGTCTGGATACACATAGAACAAGAGACCCTGCAGCAGCCTGGTGTTTCCTGTAAACAGAAGGTAGCTGTCCAAACCATTGCTACTTTGTTTTCAAATATTCTCTCTGCTACAATAATGTTACAGTGTTATTTCATCAAAATTCTTTCTGCCTAGAATTCTAGCGTTTAAAAAACTTAGCAAAATTTACTTGGTATTAATAATTAAGGTAAACATAAGGGAAATTTTCATTTGTAACAAAACACAATTGTACAGTTTTGTATGACATGTATATGTTGGGTTTTTCCTAGAAAATTATTAAAAACCAGATTTTAAAAAATACCAATATAAGGTGAACAGCGCATGTCAGTGGATAAAAGTGCTTGGCAATTGGCTTCCACACTTGATGATCTGAGGTCAAGTGGTAAAAGGAGAGAGCCAAGACCTCCACATGCATGCCGTGGCATGTGCACTGCCTACTTATCCCCCCAGCACATGCACATGCACACACCTGGTTTCATCTGCAGTTTCCCTCTGACAGTTCACTTGATCATAAGGTGATGTTTAAGTAGCTATTGTTGTTTCTCTAGCCATCCTAATCCAAGGTGCTCATTCTGTCATCTCAGTGACTGTGGCCTCTGACTGTATCTTTGACAGTTTGCACACTATGCTATGCTTAGAACTGGACAAAAGCCAACCACTTTTAAAGGATGTCATCATCTGAGGAGTTAGAAAGTTATGTGATGTCTCTCATCTGTTTTAGAAGTAAGGTAATTCTGATAAATTGGTGACAGAACACTCAGTTTTACTGAGGTCAGGTAAAGAAAGACTTGAGTGCTTTTGTGCACCACTGCCCTTACCTAGCTCCGGCTGCCTCCCAAGAGGCATTGCTCATTCAGAATAACTTTTCAGTATAGAAGTAGCCGTATTGGTGTGCATGTATGAGAACCAGTATGAATAGATCAGTGTAAAGAATCAAGAATTATTCTTGATAGTATTTCAGGAGAGGGGAGATCACTACATTGCTCTAAAATTCTACTTTTAACTAAAAGCAAGGCTTTTTGTTTCTGTTTGTTTGTTTGTTTATTTGTTTTCAGAAAAGAATGTCAAAGCATGCCAGGTATTTAGGGTATTTAGGGTATGGCAATGGAGAGAGTTCTCTTTTCAACTCTCTTTTCGCTTCTTTTCTGGGGTTGGGGACCTAAACAAGAGTGTCTCCACATTATTTAATGGAGTAACTTTCCCTTTTATCAAAGATGGAAGTATTTTGCCTTTATAAGGAAAAATAATGTATCTGCAAAATAGAATTAGCAGAACAAGTAAGGGAATACATGTTTACTTTGTGCCATCTTTTTAATATCATATAACTGATTTAAGAAGACACAAAAACTGATAAATGAGGTTTCTGCATAGCAATTTGAAAGTGCAATATTTATATAGGGCAGGAAAAAGATCAACTCTTACTTTAATGATGTGATAATACCACAACTCCATGTAGCCTCTTATTATTGTATTTTGCTTTCCAGTGGATTGTATTAAGATGTAATTAAGCTATTTTACTGTTGTGAGTTTTTTTTATTTGTTTTTTTTTTATGTAGGCACAGTATAAATTCTTAGCTGTTGTTAATTTGTAAGACTGTAAGCTAAGTACTATAGCATATTAATGTATTTCTTCCTATCCCCCAGCTCAGCAGCATTCAGTTCACGTATAACACTGATATAACTCAGTTACGACTGCTCAATCTGGATGACATCCGTAGGGCCTTTTTCCTTGTATCCTTTATTGGGACTTATAAGATCTGACCACCCCATTTTAATAGAATAAGATGATATAGAAAGTGTTTCTGCTTGTTACTTAATAGTGGTATTTTATTAGAGGCCAGTTAACTTTCTTCTCAGCTCGAGTTTTCTCACATATATAGTTCTCATCAAAATTTAGAAAGGGCAGATGCTAGGCATTTAGGTCAGAGATAGAGTGCTTGCTGAGCATGCACCAGTCCTTGAGTTCAACACCTAGTAGTGCAAACAAATAAGTACTTGTTTAACTATAGAAAAATGATGTTGCAAATGTGTGTGTGTTCCTACCATTCAGTGTCTTAGTGGTTAAGATTTTCATCACATATACACATACTCCTTAAAAATAAAATGTTAAAGTTAGAGCTAAATTCTCCTTTCAACTCTCAACTCCTGTTTCATTTCTCCTGCCCTAGAAAAAACCATTCTGAGTTTGTATTGTTGTTAGGTCAACACCCAATTCACTGGTGGGCTTTGGATCCCATCAAAGGCAATACCATGGAATTACTGAGCGTTACAAGTTTGAAAGATGGCATGGTGAAACCTCAGTTCAGGAAGACCTACTGGTCAGCTACAAGAAATTCATAGGGAGTTACTCCTTTGAAAAATTACCTAAATTTTCAGCTTTACTGAGGTAAAATTAATAAAAATTATAAACATGGAAAGTGTGTTGCTTGATGTTTTGCCTTATACAGCAAAGTGATTGACACATCCTGTTCTACTCAGCTGCCATTTGCATTTCCCCCTTTTCCTTCCTCCTTCACATTCTTCTTCCTATCCTTCCTCTTCTTGTGAGAATAATTAAGATCTTCTGTCTTAGCAGGCTTTAACACAATACATTTTCTATATTACCATACTGAACCTTAGCTGTCCAGACCTTACTTCTCATAGATAACTGAAAGTTTTGTTCTTTGATCAGATCTTCTTTGCCCCTCTTCCTATTCCTTCCAACTACCATGCTACTGTTCTCTATGGCTGCTTGTTTTCCTTTTCTTCCTTTGTCTGATCTTGAACCATAAGTTTTCCCAGTCTCCCTCTATAGCCTGCTCCCTATGTCTAATGAGTGACAGCTTTTCCTCTAGTACTGGCAGACACCTCTGACATCCACTTTTCCAGCTCTGACCTCTCCTGACCTTGAGAGCCCTCTGCCCATCATTTTCCTGGGAATCACCAGATACCTGCATGAACTGAGTCACAACTGGTGGTGCTGTTATCCAAAGTAGCTCCCTAGACAGCCTCCTGCCTCTGACACAGACTACTGAGTCAGATCCCTGGACAACCTCCTGCCTCTGACAGTCTGCTGAGTCAGATCCCTAGAAAGCCTTCTGCCTTTGTCTTCCTATGCTTGTGTCTCACAAATCACATGGATTTTCCTTATGCCGCTTACCTGAACTGTTTGCTTCCCACATTATTTCCCCCAAAATTTAAAGTTCAAGTTTTTATTAACATGTTACTAGTCTATAGTCCTTCCTTCATTTTTCCTGTGTCTTTCAATGAGCCATTAGCTCTTACCACACCTATCTACTGTTTCATGATGTAATTTTCCCACTATGTCTACCAGCATATTTAAATAACTTTAAGACTATTCACATTTATGTTCTTAGTACCTACCTCTGTTTAAGACAGGTGCTAAACAGTAACTGTCAGTTATTTAGGTATTGAGTTCGGGAAATGGCTGCTTGGATACCTTTACAGCTCAGCTCACCTACTGGGATGCGGCCTTTTCACTAGAAGTTGTCATGATTTCCCTGTAGGGTCTCTGTACCCGGTCTCTGTGTACATGTCGGATGATAAAAGAGCTCATTTAAACAAGGGCTTTCATTAAGTCAGGCATCATTTTGAGTACTTTATTAACAGTAAGTCCTGGACACCAACAGGGTTGATAACCTGAACAAATCAAAGTTCAAGAAATGGAGCCAGCAAGATGGTTCTGCAGGTAAAAGCACTCACTGTGTGTGTGTGAGCTGGTTAGTTTTTGTCAACTTGGCACAAACTAGAGTCACATAGAAAGAGGGAACCCAATTGAGGGATTGCCTCCATCAGATTGGCCTGTGTGCAATCAGACATTTTCTTGATTGATTGATGTGGCAGGGCCTAGTCCACTGTGGCTGGTGCTGCCCCTGGGCTGGTGGTCCTGATGTATAAGGAATTCAGGCTGAGCAAGCAATGGTTAGCAAGTCAGTAAGCAGCATTTCTCTGTGGTCTCTGCTTCAGTTCCTGCCTCCTACAACGATGTACCATGATCTGAATTTGTAAACCAAATAAATCCTTTCATCCTCAAGTTGCTTTTGTCCAGTGTTTATCACAGCAATCGAAATAGCTAATACACCATGTAAGCCTGATGACCTGAGTTTAGTTCTCAGAACCCACTGTGGAAAGAGAGAATCAACTCTCCAAAGTTGTCCTTTAACTTCCATACATGCGCACGCTCGCACGTGTGTGTGTGTGTGCACACACACAAATAAAAACAATAATGATAATATTAAAAAATAGTTCAATAAGGTTTAAAAATGTTCAGCATTCTCTATTAAGTTATTCTAAAGTATATTTTGTTTCTTTTTGAGCTTTTTGCAAAGCCTGTTAGGAGTTTCACATGTCAAGGGCCCATGATAAGTATATGTTAAAAAAAAAAAAAAACCAACTATCTTGTATCTAAAAATGTCTGATATTCTAGGTCTACATCCTTTTGAAAAGCCATAAACAACAACTATAGACAGTTCATCCTGTTGATGCTTGAGAAGAGGAAAGTAGCCTTCTCAAGAGTCACCAGCATTTCCACACACCTAATGGTTTTCAGGGCATTGCTTCAGCTTTCAGGTCTTTGTAATGTGTTCACCAGGAATGCACTCAGCCATCCTTTCAAACAATTTATGATGATTACACAGTTAAAAGAAAGTTGCTTTTGTTGTAAAATTGCCTTTTATTTTCTCAAATGAAAAAGAGAGTCCCAAACAACAGGTAGGGAAGCTATGGCCGAAGGAGAGAGAAAAATCGGCTTGAACTCATGTCCTCCCTCTGTTCCAGGGAAAGCCCTCTGTTAGATGATTTGACTCAAACTCTTGAAGAAAATGCCTGATTTGGATGTAGAGTTGGAAATCTTCCATTTGTAAACCAAGATTAGTCACTACTTGGAAGATTCTCTAGAATAAACAAGAATAAATGATTTATAAAGAAATAAATTTTATGAATTCTGACTTGTTTAGGCATTTCCTTAACTGTATGTAGGTTTTTTTTTTAGTGACTGCATTTTTTGGAACTGGAAATATAGCTTCTATTAACAGGTAATCTTTTACACTTATTTAGGGGTGTGTGTGTGTGTGTGTGTGTGTGTGTGTGTGTGTCTGTCTGTCTGTCTGTCTGTCTGTGTGCGCATGCCCCCACACTCTCAGGCCAAAAGAGTATCAGATATCCTGGAACTGGAGTGACACTGCTCTGAGCCACCTGATGATTTGGGTCCTTTAGAAGAGCAGCAACTGCTTTTAACTGCTGAACCATCTCTGCAGTCACTTGAGCTTGTTTTTATATTCAATAATAGAGTATATTGGAGTATAATATGGTAATAAAGGGGATTAGCATTCAGCTCTGTTTTGTTTATTCTAGTATGACTCAATTTTAGCAAGAGTTGATTTCAGAGAACTACTGAGCATCCTTTTTTTTTAACAGAATATTCTTTTAAAGTCAAAGTATGAATTCTAAAATCTTTACTCTTTCCTTTATCATTGTCTAGCTTTGACCTTGCCTCTGTGTATTGCTTTCTGACTGTGTTTAGTCCTTTCATGATGGGAGCTCTCATGATGTGGAAGGTTAGTTTTCTGATTTTAATACTTGCGTTAAGTGGTTGGTTTAAAGATTTTTATATTAAGGTTGTGCTCATGTTGCATTAAGTTTGTAAATCATTGTAACAGAAGTACCCTTTCATACTTGGTGCTGATGGAGGCAACCGGTAACCCTACTTCCAGATACCTATCTTTGCTTTACTCTGAAGACTTTTTGACTGTAAAAGACTAAAGATTCTTTTAGCCCAAGAAAATCCTATCAGAGGTAATAAAAGACTGTAGGAGAGCTATGATCAAAACTACAGTGTTGCTAAAGATTATGAAGCTCCCTGACCCCACTGGTCTCCAACCACAGGACAGCCTTTGTGTTCTCATTTTTCCCATGTACCTCGAATTGATCATAACTTTCAACAACTGTGTCATTGAGTACTCTGTCCATCTGATGTGTCAGGTACTAGCTGAGTGCTGACAGTATGAAAGTAGTTATATGTTCCGGTTTCTAGAGATAAAGATTCTGGTAGAATATAGTTCATCTTCTTTATGGTAATGGTATCAGTTGCTTTTCTGTTGCTGTAATAAAGTACCCTGATAAAAAGCAAGTTAGGGAAGAAAGGGTTTGTTTTGGCATACAATTCCAGGGGGACACAGTCTGTCCTGGCAAGGATGGCACAGAAACAAAAGGTCAGCCTTGCAGTCAGGAAGCAGAGAGATCACATTTCATCTGCACACAGGAAACAGGGAGAACAGGAAGTAGAGCCAGACTATAAACTCTTACAGCCTGCCCCCAGTGATGTACTTCTTTCTATAGGAACTTGACTGCCTGAAGGTTAATAACCTTCCAAATAGTATCACCAGCTGGAGACCAAATGTTCAAATACATGAGTCTGTGGGGGAACACTTCTCATTCAAACCACTGTAGTTCTTATACTTATTTACTTCCTTTACTACATTTTCTCTTTTATAATGCTCAGCACATCTTATGTTGTCAGTATGTATTTATTTAAACATTCAGATACATAAATGATAACTGTTGAAAGTGTATATTCTCTTAGTAAGAGTTTTTGTATTGCACCAGTTACACTTATTTTTTTTTTTTACTACACTAATAGAAATGTAATTTAAGAAATGGTAAAAAGACATTGGGCATTTTCTTATATCCCAGTCTCTGTTCTCTATTGAATTGTTTTAAAATATATTAGAGTTTCTTTAATTGTCATTCACATTTTTAATGATGGTTGTTCTTTGTTTAGTCTAAAGACTATGATACTAATTAAACATAAAAAATCAAATTACATCAGTAAATCTTTAATTTCTGTCATAATTTAATAAGCTGTAACAGCATAATGCACTTGACAACTAGTGTTGACTGATGAGTACTGTGGTGATCGCCCTCCTGAACTCTGTTTTATTCATATCTTCTTTGGAGAAGAAGCTTATATAGCCTTGAACATCATTTCTTTTCCATATGCTACCCCCAACTTATGAAGTATAAATTTAATGTTTTGGGAGATATGGGAAGAATATGAGAGGGAACTAGGAGGTATATATGATTGTATTTCATTGTTGCATGTATGAAGTTCTCAAAGAATGAAAAAAATTAAAAACTTGGTTACTGGAAATTAATACTCACATATATTAATAATATTGGCTCTAGATCAATGGTTCGCAGCCTGTGGGTTGCAACCCCATTGGGGGTTGCATATCAGATATCCTGCATATCAGATATTTCATTATGATTCATAACAGCAAAATTACAGTTATGAAGTAGAAGTGAAATAATTTTGTGCTTGAGGGTCACCATAACATGAAGGGGGCACAGCACTAGGAAGGGTGAGAGCCACTGCTCTAGATGATGAACTTTTCAACTACTAAAAATTCTTATGTTTTCTGTTTATGTTTTCAGATGTACTACATTGAGTATAAGTTTATAACAATAGGCAAAATAACATTTTTAAACTCAGAAGAGCAACAATAAAATATCTGAGTCATGTTCATGGTGCTGTAGTATCTAGTAATAAGCTAAGTCCATTGATCTGTATCACATCAACAGGCTCCATAACTGACTTGCTTTAGGCATTCTACTTCATATGCTCTTGGAAGCATGAACATTGTCATGAATCAATAGAATGTGTCAAATAGGGCAAAATGTGTAGAAGATTTCAATTTGGAATACATGTTGATGTTTGCTGTTATTCCTTGTATATTATTTTTGGTTTTTAAATCAGTTTTCACTGTCCCATGTGACAATTTCATGCTTGATCTTTGTTTCCTCTCAACTGGTATATATAAATTATTTGAAAGATTGAAAGTCATTGTGTAAGCAGAAATAGTATTTGCTTCAAACATGTTTCAGGTGTTTGTTACCAGTGACATCATTTGTTGTTCTTTGAAACAGATTTTAATTCCTTTTGTTCTTGTGATGTGTGCTTTTGAAGCAGTTCAGATAACTACACAGCTGTCATCAAGAGGGTAAGATAAATGCGTAAGAAGTCCTGGGTTCCCTCATTTATCATAAATGAGAGAACATTTGAAAATATTTCATGTGATTGCTATTCAAAGTTTGTAAAACAAATTGCTTATTTTAAAATACAGAAAAAATCTAAAGTTTTCCACTTTTAGATTTCAGTTGTCATTAGAGGAAACTGGATAAGGCCTTTAGCAAACAAATATGCTTTCTCTGTTATAAAACATTAGAATCTTATTCAAGCTACTAAAGATTCTCTCTAGAAAAACATAATTTTTAAATGCTGTAGTTAATTATTCATCTGTTATAGGTATAATAACACCTACAAAAAATGAAGGGCTATCATTACAATTTCTTTTGTCTTATTTCTTAAAAATGTATTAAACATATTTGCTAGCACTATTTCATTTTATATGAGTTGACATTAACTTTTCTGTATATCAATAATTTGCAAAAATAGACATTGGCAAATGAGTGAGAAAGATTCTGAGTTTTGAGATATTTCTTGAGCAGTCAGTCTTCAGCATTCAAGGTTCTGAAAGAAAGTTGTTAGCCAAGTATTTGCTTTTTTTAACCCATAAAATTACCTCATCAGCACAGCGTCTCTGAAAAACACTTATAAATAGGACTTTTATAAGTGAATCAAGTTGGCACAGTCAATGCTAAAAGGATGAATACTATTAACATAAATTTGCATGTTTTCTTGATGAGCGTAAGCTAGAACTCGGGTTTGCATTCTAGTATGTATACACCATAATTTTTTTTTAAAGATTTCCTTCTACTGTTTAGAAATAGTGAAAATCTTATTTCTAGTTCAAAGAAAATAATCTTTCAAGATATTTACATGAATTTAATAGTGAAAACATATACTCCTTATCAGTATCATACAGTTGACAGTTGCTTAGATGTAATAAAAATTAGTAAATAATACTAATGTGCTTTCCTGCATCTCTGCTAGTAGGCACATTTTTCAGGAGGAATTTTAATTAAGCCTTGTGTAAGAAGAATGGGACAATAGGATAAAAACAGAAAACTCACTGATGTGTGTGACTATAGACATATATTTGTGTGCCTGTGTGTGGTCATTCTGCCTTGAGACTAATGTAGTGAAATCCCAAACACAGACAGAGGCCTGAGGCAGAGGTAGCAATGTCAAAAGCTTTTAAAAAAATCTTCTCGTTTGACCTTTAAGCCCTTGAAAAGCATTGACATTTTCCCTGTGTATCAGAAGCTCCAAATGTTTAATCCATTGACTCAGTGATTCCATTTTCCTGTTAAAAGGTAGATTTGCATCTTCTTTTTTACCTAACTCATCAAGGAAGACAGGCTACGGCTTCCCTCATTGCTTATTTGCTTCTTAACTCCTGTTCATGGCTTGCCCTTCTGAATGTATTCACAGAGACATTTTGTTTCTGTTGCTAAAATCTTAGAATTTTTAAAAGTCTGGGGCATAAAGGGAGCTTTGTTTACATTCTGGTTGTTTATTATACCCGCACTGCCAAGGCTTAAGTTGAACACAGCACACTAATGTGATGGTTCTACCTGCATTTCTTCTTACCCACTCCTTAAAATACGTATTAGATAAAGTGAGGTAGAAAAGTCGTATTAGCATTGTTTTATTTTACATAACTTAAAATGAACTTTTCTAATTGTCATTTTGTAGCCAGAAGTTTTCCTGTGTCCCGCCCAGGCTATAGTTACTCTGACCCAAGTAAACACACAGAGGCTTATATTAATTAAAACTGCTCAGCCATTAGCTCAGGCTTTCTCCTAACTAGCTCATACACTTAAACTCAGCCCATTTCTGTTAATCTGTATGTTGCCACATTTTCTGTGGCTTTACCTGTGTGCCATTACATGCTGCTCCCTGGACATCAGGCCGGTGTCTCCTGACTCAGCCTTCCTCTTCCCAGAATTCTCCATGTCTTCTTATCCCACCTATACTTTCTACCTGGCTACTGGTCAATCAGCATTTTATTTATCAACCAATCAGAGCAACACATTCACAGCATACGGAGCAACATCACCTGTAGACGAATTTCTATGGCTGTGGGACTGGCAGATGAGACAGATTTGTCCCAACTGTTGGCCGCCTGGGACATAGGAAAACTTCAGCTACAATCACCCATCATCATTTACTTGTCTTATTCCTCATTCTATAACTTAGCTCCTCATAAAGCCTTGTACATTTTGGGCAGAGGCCAAAAGGACATGTGGGTGTGAAGGTTACCTGACAAATGATGGACTAAGATTGCTTTGGGCTGTGAGCAGTAAAACTAGGAGTAAACATGCTTTCTGTTGTGGGGAGTCTACTTGGTACCATCTACAGCTGAGCTTTCCACCCTTCCATTCTTATGTCTTGCCTTATCTTCCTGAGTTACCTGAGGATATTGTTCACAATTAGGTTCTAATTTATTTGAAAGCTATACCTATGACATTGTATGTAATTTTTCCTTTATTTTTCAGGCTTTTCCTCATTGTTCTTGTCATATCAGACATCATGGCTTTGGTAAGGCACTTACTTACATGGGTATAAGTCAGATCGAGAAACTAAGTTCTGTGTCCTTTCAGTTAGGAGAAATATGAATACATTTCTGTACATGAAATCTATATACAGAGTTCTAAGTGACAGCACTTTACACAGATACACTACTTTTTATATTACTAATAACAAACCTTTTAAGCTGTCAAATTTTTTTCTTATTACTTGATTTATTCAGGCTGTCATTTTATACTTGTTCTTTCAGGCTGTTCTCTTTATTTGTGTTTGAAATGAACCTTTCATAGTTTAACAGAAGAAGCCAGTTTCAGATTTAGATAATGCATCACTCATTTAAATACTGATTTTTAGTCCTCTCAGATTAAGAAAGAGAAAAAAAGGAGTGAGTGAAGGAATGAAATACAGCTTTATCAATTGGGAAATGTTATCAGTTAATAGTTATAACCAATGAATTCTAAATAAGATAATCTCCTTGTATATAATATATTAACAAAAAGAATGAATTTGTTTTGAGTATTTGGGGGAATTGCAATACCTACTCTCAGGTTTGATAATTCTCTAGAAGGCATCATTGAATTGCTGAATCCTGTTATAGTCTTAGTTCTGGTTTATGAAAGTGAGATCATACAAATAAGTCAGCCAAAGGAGTTTCTGTGTCGAGTAGAATGAAGAGTTCTCCTGTTCGTTCCAGTGGAGTGAGGACAGCGTTTTCCCTCAGCAGTGCGACAATACACATGGAACATTGCCAGCCTAGGCTTTCCTTTCCTTTTTGATGGGTTTTGGTCAACACAGCACACTTGACTGATCATCAATCTCCAGTCCTTCCAAGAGTAGAAATCAGACCATGTAGCCCAAAGATCCCAGCATAAGTCGTATTTTTAGATTGGTAACCAGTGCCTCAGGCAGAATGCTTCATTAGCCATTCCAAGGCCTGGAAATCAGCTCCCAGTAGCTGAGAGCCCTGACTCTTAAGGTATGATTAATACCTGACTATAGATCTACTAAGTAATTTCTCAAATCTGATTGCTGACCACTCGATTTAAATGAGAGCATTTTTGTGTTTTGTTCAACTAAATATCTAGTATATTTCTCAAATTGATCACATATAATGTTAGAACAAAATCAACATTCACAAAATGACAAATAGGCAAGAATAGATGAGAACTGGATGATTCTGGTTGATTTTGTATGAAGAATCGGGTCACTCAGTTTAAGTTGCCAAACTGTTTCTGATCCACCTTTATTGACTGACATAATTTTATATCCCTCTTCCTTGTTTTCCTTAAACCAGCATCACTTTGAACCTACTAAATTTGGTCTGGGTTCTTGGTATTTAACAAGCCATTCCCTTTGCCCAGAAACAACTTCCTCATCTGTCTCTCTGATTTTGTCTTTATCTAATTCCTGCTTTTCACTTAGATTTCACGTTCCTCTGTTTCTGTATCTCTCAATACACATGCATACACATACATTTACACACCTAATAATTTGAACCATCACTAGATGATGCATCTTGTGAGGAAATTATCTCTAGACCCTGGCAATGACTTATTAATTCATAGTAGACAGCATCAGCGGAATGTTTGTTGACCAGATGATGTGCCTTCAGTTGAATCTTGGGCATTTTTAATATTTTTATTAGAGTTGGGTGGTTTTATTTCTTATTATTCACAAACATCACTTTGTATTGATTTTATTTAATCTTAATTCCATTTGTAGCATTGTTTATTTTAATACAAGTAGAAGTTACAGTTAAGGGCATATTCTTGTGGATTCTGGGTAGAAAATGATGTGTCAAATATTCACCCATAAAACAACTTTGTTTCTAGATTGAAACTAAGTAGTTTTTGTTTTTAATTGGGTCATATTGTATTGTCTTTTACAGCATTTTTTCTTCTTGATCAAGGATTCTGGTAGCTGGCTTGATATTGGAACCAGGTATTGTACATAGTCACATTGACTTCTTAAAAGTGTCTTGGTACGGGTGCCAATATGACTTCAGGCAAATACAAGAAGTAACATAGATTTTAAGACTCTGAGATGAGACACCATTTTCTAATTCTTGGTATGAACATGCTGGCATGTATTCTCATGGGATACTGTGGGAGAGGAGGATGGATGTTTAGTCTGGAGAGAACTGGGGCAGCAGGAAGATATAAGAGGGACTCATGAATATGTAGTCTCAAAGTAACTTCAATGCCCTTGTGTGTTCTTATAATCTCACAACTGCATCTTGGAAAATAAGGCTCTTCAGACTGACTGTGAATTTTATGTGTTGGTTTAAATTTCATGCCATCCCTATCTGCCTTTTAGAAGCTTTAGGAGACACTGTGACACACTGTCATTTAAAGCATAATCTGAGCAAGTCAGTTTCCTCTCTTTCCTGTAATATCACTTGCAGTAATCTGGTAAAGTTCTTCTTTCTGAGAAGGCAAAGTTGATCCTCCCATCATTTCCTCCCAAATGGATTCTGAGACAGAATATGTTTTTATAAGCCAGTTCTATTTTATTTTGTTAATATTCAGTCACACTTTGAGCTTCTGGGAATTTGAGTTTATGTAAGACTGTGCATTAGACATTTCTCTCAAAGCTCCCAGCTGGTACCTGCCTGCCTTTCCAGGTACATTGGCTGTCCTCAGACCTGGGATCTGATGTGAATCTACATAAAAATCTGGGCCTAATGACTGGTTTTTAATGCACACATGAGCAACACTAATTGAACTTAGTGGGTCATAAAAAGGAAATGGATTTGAATTTAGGAGAGAGAGGTAAGGGAGAAGGGAAGAATAGAAGGAGGGAAATGTGAATATATATGATCATATTTCATTATATACAAATATGGAAAAAGCAAAAAAGCCTAACAGAGTGACATGTCCCTATAATCCCAGTGATGGGGAGGCAGAACTGGAAGATCCCGGGGACTTGCTGGGCAATTAATCTTATGGAATCCATGAGTTCCAGGTTCAGTGTAAGAGCCTATCTCAAAAAATACAGTGGAGAACAATAGAGGAAGACATCCAACACCAACCTCTGGCATCTGCACATACTCACATATATATACACACGTACCCACATGTACACGAACATATGCACATGCATACCACATACACAGAGACACAATTACACACACATGCACACATACACACACACACACACACACACACACAGATATCTAGCTCTATGACATGGCTACTCAATTTCTAGGTATTTATCTAAGAGAAAGAAAAATGTGCACAGAATGATTTGTATAGGAATTTTTATAGCAGCTTCATTCATAACAAACTACATTTCTGTGCACATGAATGGATAATTAGATTCAGCTGCAATTAAACAGTAGACAGCTACTTGCCAGTGAAAACAAATGAATGATAAATTGACTCAGCCTTATAGACAGATCTTAGAACTGCAGTGAATGAAAGTAACCAGTTATGCAGGGGTATATAATGTGTTGTTTCTGCTTACATAAAATTCTAATCTATAGTTCGAGAAAGCTAACCAATAGTTGTGGAGGTCTGATGAATGTGGGGTTGATACAGAAGAGCATGTGGGAACTTCTGTGGGGATGAAAATGTTGCAGATGTCCTGACAATGATGGTGGTCATATGGTGTACAAATTGTCAAATCTCAGCTAATTGGGCACTTAAAATAGTTATATTTTCTCACATGGAACTTTTATCTTAATTGATAAAGAATAATGGAACTAAGATATCTATCTGAAATTGAAATGAACATACATAATGTAAGTTAAATCCTCTTCTCTCCTAGCAGGGTCTTAAATTCTTTTTAATTGATGTTCAATAAACAGAAGCATAAAGATACTAATTCATGCTAGGGAGATCACTACCTTCTAGAAGATATACTGAGAGAATTAGAATTGCTGTTCTGAGAAGTGAGAAAGAAGGATTGAGATCTTTACTGTTGACTGTTTTTCTCATTCTGTTTCCTGGTGCTCCATTTCCTGGTGGAAATGGAAAGGAGAGTGCTTAGATGGCAATAGAGTCAAGAAGGAGAAATCTGTATCTGGGTCACTCCTTGAAGCTTAATTAGAAAGGGAGAAAACATGCAGCATTTGCATGGGGATGCCTTGCACATATTAGGGAGTGTGAGGAATATTATAGTTGGAAGGAGTGAGCATCCCTGAGACCATCCAATCCAATTATACCCTGTCAGAGTAAGTTTCTGAAGGCAAGTTGAGGAGTCCAAGTGGAGTGCTGAGAAATGCCCATGACTCAGAGTAGGGTTGTACATTGCAATTCACACCCCATCTACCCATAGTTGGTCATTTGGTGTCTGGATTCTTAAAGGCAGTATAATGACTGTTCAGAAGCCAGGAGTCTATCTAGCACAGACCAAGTAAAAATAACAAAGCACTCATACGTGAGTAGAAAGTCTAGGATGTCAGTCAGAGGATTTCACTGAGTCACACTTCACTAAAATAGACTAAACTTACATTGTGCTCTGTTATTTGCAGTGTCTCCCAACAGATTATGTCGTGTACTTTTCATCCCAACACAGAGAAGTAGGTGTTAACTTTTACCCGGCAGATGAATTTACTGCCTGCATCTGACACTGCTACCCTGGGGAGATTGCAATTGACTCATGTTACAGTGCCCATAAGTAGTTGAGCTTAGTGGCAACACGTTGATGGTAGAGGATCTGGTTTTCTCACTGTCCCATCTCTGTCTGGACTTAAAGAGGATTTTCCAGAGGTTGTGTTTTATAACAAAATAAGCATATTTTACAAAACCAAACAAACAAAAATGGGACTCTTGAGCTAGCTGTGGTGGCCATCCCAACTACTGAGGACCCTGTGGTTTGAAAATTGCAACTCTGGCACCAGCTTCCACTAAAACTGTGGATTAGAACTGAGTGAATGGGGCTGCAGATGCTAGCTCGGTGTTAGGATACTTGTAGCATGCATAGGACTTGGTTCATGCCCCAGAGCTGTTTAGAAAAAGGTGGCTTTATATCTAATGGTGTTTGTAATTTACAGAGGGACCATTCACAGTGAAGTTTTGAGTTATATAAATTAGGGGTTTAAATGGGAAAGAATAGCATACCTGGATCGTAGAGTGATGCTGGTTTTGGTTTGGAGGAACCTCTGTACTGATTTCCTTAATGACTATATTAAATTATCTTTCTATGAACAGTATATAGAGAAAACTTTCCCCTCACCTCCTCACTAATTTTTTGTCTCCTCGATGAAAACTGCTCTGATGAGGATAGAATCTCAATGCTGTTTTGCATTTCCCTAGTGGCCATTGTTGCTGAACAGTTACCGCAGTTACATTATTCTTTTGAGCTGCCTTTGCAGTTCACGTACCTGTGTACTGATTGCATTACTTGTTCTTTCCGTGTTGATTGTTGATTTCTTCTTGTGTTCTGGATAATACTCTGTTGGCAGAAAAGCTGGTGAGGATTTTCTCCCACTCTGTAGGCTTTCTCTTTATTCTCATCTTTCCTTTGCTTTGCAGAAGCTTTTGAATTGGCTGCAAGCCCATTTGTTGATTTTTGTGTATTATTTCCTGAGCTCTACAGTCCTTCTCTATTCCTAAAGCCAGAAGTGTTTTCCCTGCATTTTCCATTGGTAGTGTCAGTGTTCCAGGTCTTGCATTAAACTCTTTGGCCCATTTGGAGTTAACTTTTGTCCAGAATAATAGAGAGAGATTTAATTTCAGTCTTCTGCATAATGATATCTGGTTCCATTTGTTTAAAGACTGTCAGTTGAAACATGGTCCAAGAATGGAGTCGTGAGAGGGGACTGAGTGCTTTTGAGAAAACTCCAAGAGAAGAAGACAACAGTCTTGTAATCTCAGTTTCTATAAAAACGGCATTGAGCTGGATGGTGGTGGCACGTGCCTTAATCCCAACACTCAGGAGGCAGAGACAGGCAGATTTCTGTGAGTTGGAGGCCAGACTGGTCTACAGGAGAATTCCAGAACCAGAGCTGTTACACAGAGCTGTTTGGTCTGGAAAAACAAAAACAAACAAAAGAACCTGTTGTTGTTTTTGCTCTTTTGAGGGCCCTGCTACCCAGCTCCCAAATAAATAACACATAGAGGCTTATTCTTTCCATGGCTGGCTGTGTAGCTGGGTGGCTGGCCCCCGTGTGGCCCTCATTCTCTGGCTCCTAGCTCTCTCCTCCCAGTTTTCTCCTATATATACTCTCTGCCTGCCAGTCCCACCTATCTTTTCTCCTGCCCTGCTATTGGCCATTCAGTTCTTTATTAGACCATCAGGTGTTTTACACAGACACAGTAACACAGCTTCATAGAGTTAAACAAATATAACATAAAGAAAAGTAACATACCTTAAAATAATATTCTACTACAAAACCCCACAGAATTATTCTTGGAATATGTTTTTGTGCTCTTTCCAGGTGTCAGGAATAGGACTGAGTTTACATTATTCCTTACAACTGGCTATTGTCATTTGTTTATATGCATGCATGGAAAAAACATGTTTTTGCCATGTGTAGCTTGTTCTTGTGATTATATACAAGTTAAACTCATGAGAACTGTACTCAGGTGATAAATTGTCTAATGCTCTGAATAAAGTTGGCTTTAAAGTATGAGATTTTAATCTCCCTCATCTTTAGGAGAACCACGTCCAACTGCCAGCTAGAGTGGTAAACAGCTGTCTTTTCTGTAATGTGTGTTTTTAGCATCTATTAAGAATTAGAAATCTAGAATTATATGGGCCTATTTCTGAATCCGCTATTCCATTCCATTAGTCTGTTTTTATGCAAATGTCATGCTTAGAAAAATACAACTATAGCTTTGTTGTATTGTGAAGTTCAATACTCATATGTTCCTTCTTTTTATATCTTCAGAACTTTTCACTGTGTATAAGTGAAACTCTGTGTTCATTGAACACCAGCTCTCCATATTCCTCTCTCCCAGGAGCTGGCCAACACTATTCTGCTTATTTCTCTGAAT